GTAATATAATTGTGATATAATAAATAATTAATCTATTGCGGAATAATTAACATATTACAAAATAATTATCATATTGCGGAATAATTATAGTATTACACAAATAATTATTATATTATAATTTATATTACCACTATATAAATTATATTGTAAATTTATATTATAACTATATTTATAAATTCCACAATATTACGAATTTTAAAAAATAATAACAGATCCATCTTTAGTCATACCAAATAAATTATACGAAAAAATTTTTGTCCCTATTTCTCTAATAATAAATCATATGAAAAAATAAGTCATACGAAAATTTGTAAATAAGTCATATGAAAAATTATTTGTCCTAACTCCTCCATAATAAATCATATGAAAAATTTATATCAGGATTTATGCTTAATGACTCTCAGAGGTTAGAAAATATAATAAAGATTTTTTGTCCTAATTCCTTATAATAAATCATACGAAAAAAATTTTTATCCTAATTCTCATATCATAAGTCATACAAAAAATGTATATCAGGAATTATATTTAATAGCTTTCAGAGATTAAAAAATATAATAAAAAATATATCATATGAAATTTTGTCCCAATTTCCCTCAATAAATCTAACTTATCTTAATGTATTGACCTATTATATTCCTGATCCTAGTTTTAAGCTTTAGCCCGCAATCTATCATAGTACTGGATAATATAATAGCCTCTGATATTTAATAGGCATCGGTCACAAACAGAAGTAGTTGACTTACCACAATTAGAATAAGGTATACGTTTTTTAGTCTTCCAATAGAACTGACACCCTTTAGGCCTAATACAAGCTCTCTCACAAGCCTTTACGGAATTGCAGAGATAAGGGCATGAATATTCACCAATCATTTTGATAAGAATAGGAATTAATTAATTAAAGAAAAAAGTTTTATAAGCAAGTAATAGTGCGATGGTAAGAGCTAACGATATACAAAATATCTGATGCTTATCCAGAATATATAGAAGAATTTAGTATAGAGATATCTGATTTCAATCCAATTGATCCTACAGCCTATATACCTTTATCAGAAACTTTGCCAAAATGAAATAATGGAATTATTAATATTCAAAATAATGATAACTGGTGTTTCAGTTAGCGTATTCTAGGAGTTTTGCATCCAGTTAAAGTTCATCCAGAAAGAAATCCACATCGGCTATATGGAGCTTTTATGGAGGAACTTAACATGGATAATATTCCAATTCCAGTACCTGTCTCAACACCAGTTTATGAGAAGTTTGAAGAAATAATTCAGAGATTAGTCTATATGTCTATGAGTGGCACAACCAAAATGAGTATCTTGAATTTCGCTATGTTTCAGAAAGAAGAGGGAATGAATACAAGCAAGTAAATCTTCTAGTAATTATAGAAGATGATAGAAGCTATTACTGCATTATCAAAGATTTACATAAGCTGGTATACAATCATAGCAAACATAAAGGCTGAAAATACATTTGTCGTTATTGTCTTCATGTATACTCTTCAGAGATAAGATATAATGAATATTTGCCAAAATGCAAAGGTCTAAATAATGCCTCACAGCGACCACAAATGCCAGTGAAGAATAGGAGTATCAAAGCTTTCTATAATCATAAATGCATGCAACTGAATCCATATCGAATAATCTGGGATCTTGAAATGCTAACCAAAAAGCTAACTCCAGAAAAGAAAATGAAATTAACTTCCATTGAGAGGTTGCAGATGCATAAACCATGTGGATACTACTATGCGGTTATTCATATGAATAGTTCATTTAACTATGAAATCATAAGTCATAGTCTATATAGAAGGTCAGATGCCTTAGAAAAATTCATTGAAAAAATCGAAGGAGAGCTTCTAAATATTTAAGAAGATTTATCTGCACCAGCTGAAATTATTATAGCACCTGGAAATCTTAAAGCATATAATAAATCAACTGATTGTTAGATTTGCAAAAACCTTTTCTCAAGCCATCTTCTGAAGCATTGCAAAAATTTGAAGAAGTTAAGCACAGATTATTAGAAGTCATCAAATGGAAAGCAAGCATAGAAGAAGATCACTAAGAAAAGAAAAATATACAAAAAGAATACCAAGAAACTTTAAGTAGACTTAATCGTAAGGTAAAAGATCATGATCATATAAATGGGAAGTACTGAGGTCCAGCTCATAATACTTGTAACAAAAAGTTACGAATAGGATCATTTGAGACAAAAGTACCTTTGATCTGCCATAATTTCTGGGAATATGACTCTCATCCATTCATGAAAGTTGTGAGTAAGTTTACGGCTGATAAGCTAAAATACATCCCAGAAAATATAGGAAAGTATAAAGCAATGGATGTTGGACAGCTTCGGTTCTTAGATAGCTTTCAGCATATGG